AAGCTCCCGAGCTCAGGGATCCACTGATTTTGACAACCAGGAGACTGAAAACTTGGCAGTTGAGAGGAGGAAGGGTTTGGAGCAAGACTGTCACAAAGTCTGGCTTTGTGTGCGTTACGCAAGCATCTATTTCACTCTGATGACTACCCAACACTTTGCTGAAAAGACAGCTTTATTCACAAGTTTCAAAATCCCACAGCTCTTTGGAGGCGAAGCATTCAGAATAAACATCTCAGCCAAGCCAAAAGTCATTGAGTCAAAACAAAGAGTGAGTTATTATTTTTCATCTCCAATGCGTGCTTGGAAATGGGTAGGCGAGAGGTTTTTTTTTTTTTCAGGCCTTTTTCATAAAAGCCATGACAAAAGGCACCATCTTGATTTCAAAAATGCTTTTCCAGACACTGATAATTCTTGCATTTGACCTATGGGACCACATCCCTGAAAGAAAATGCTCTGATAACACATTACAGGCTAAAAAAACCACAGTTAATAAATAATGTTCTGATCACAGAAAGGTTTGAGTTGGAAGGAAACTTCAGAGACCACCTAGGCCAGCCCCCCCTCGCTGGGACATCTTCCACTACTAGGTCAGGTTATGCAAAACCCTGCTCAACCTGGCCTCGAACACTTCCAATGACAGGGCATCCACAACTCTAGGCAACAAGATCTCAAGATTGCTATTAAATAGGAGATTTCCTTTTCTTAAACTACTTAATTCACTCCTAAGAGTTATATTTTGGAACTGCTACTTAGCCCTTGGGTTTCTACCACCCTTTGTCATGCCAAGAGGCTCCCATCGCCCAAGGAATTTGGCTGAAAGCAGAGAACTTAACAGTGCTTTAAAACCTCAGAGTTGCTTGGTCCTCCCAAAGGGCTGGTTTCTGTAAAGCACTTAGATATAGGCAGGACTACAGTTAAATTATTTCCTGAGTTGGGGCCTGAGAGAAGTCTTCAACTCCAAAAAGAAAAGCACTTCTATAAAGGTTTCCAAGTTTGGGCTCGAAAGCATAAAAAGCAAGTGACTGACTTAGCAGAGCAACTCAAATATTCCTCATTAAGCACAGAACATTATTAGTCCGTGCTGAGGTGAAGACAACTACTTGTAGACAGCTGGGAATTACTCCACAACTCCTTCTTCAAAGGAGCTTCTCTAACTTAAAAACAGTGGAAGGTCCACTTTTTCTGAAATAAGAATTGTCCTTACTAGAAGTTATTTGACAGCAGCTCCTGTGTTTAATTTACATTCCATCCTGATCTATGTGAATCTTCTACCATTGGCAGCCCTTGGCTATAAGCAACTTCATCTTCCCACCTCATGTAGATGAGGTGTTCAACCTCAAAGTGATGGACAGGGCAAGACTAGGTTGGGACTCATGTCACCCACATGCTTTGATAGCTTTCTCTTCTCCAGTTCTATCCAGGCAGGCAGGAAGGTCCTGGACATATGTGCATGTTCTCCTCCATCCAGACCTTTCTCTGCATCCACAGAGCAACAGAGCCATGGGTTGGGGATGTGTTTGGCCAAGAGGCAATAGTGGAAACCAGACAGAAGGGAGGTGCAGAGAGATGGTGCTCAACAGCAGGGAAGGGAAGGAGCTTGGCAGTCTAGCCATGGGGTTTTGTCAAAAAAATGTCATGGTTAATGGAAGAATTCAGATTGAGGAATGGCTTTGTGGGTAATAAAGGAAAGCCTCCCTCCAGTGAGAGGAGTAGAAGCAATAAGGAAGATGGTTGCTTAGAAAAGTAAGAGGTGAAAAGGACAGACATGGCTGGCTGAGCCGAAGAGCAGTAGGGCTCTGGACACCAAGAATGAATGGAGTTGTTCCTGTGAAGACAGACAAGTAGCCTGTGCTAGAAACAAGCCAAGAGGGAGGCAAAGAGGGGGATGACACAGTTAAAGGATGATCACATCACCGATCAGCCTGGCCGGCAGAGTGGTTCAGAGGAATGCAAAGGAGATCTGAAAGATCATGTGGGTGGTATGAAAAATGAAGATGTCCCTGAAAAAAATGAAGACCTTGTACCCCCACATAAGGCTTCCAGAGACAGATGGGGAGTAACGGAGGAGGGAATAAAGGACAGAGCCTAGCCAAGCTTTCATGGAAAGCTGGAAGAGGCAGACGACAAATACATCCCAGCCAACATGATGCAGCAGAGGTAGAAAACAACTGGCCAAACTGGGAAAGCCAAGGTAAAATCAATATTTTATGGAGAAGAGTGCAGCTGTTGCTGTCAAAGACAACCAGCACACCACAACTAAGGCAGAAGAGCTCCTGAGCTTGGCCAGGAAGAGCTTGCAGTGTCTTTGGAAGAGCCTTTCTAGGGTGGTGTGAAAAGCAAGAGGTGGACAGGAGAAGAAAAGGAAAGCGGGGAGATATAGCCACCAAACAGGACACTGTGGCTGACATTTCTGCATCTATGACACAGAAGGAGGATGGACAAACACTTTGCAACACAGACAAATATTCCCAAGGGAGAGTGTGAAGTTAACGGTGGGGTTAGGAAGGGAAGAGTTAATCCCTGGAAACTGCTGGGATTTGTAGACCAAGCAGCAAAAGGTCAACCCTCTTGCATGCTTCAACAAGCCCAACCATGACCCCACCAAGAGGCTTTTACCTGGGGCGTAGCCGGGGCTGCTGGTTGGATACATGTTTGGGTTGTAGGCTGGGGCAGCGGTGGGATAGCCCGTCGGATAACCTGCAACGAGAAAAGAAAGAGAAATGACACTTTTGTCAGCAGGGAGAAGAGGATGGCATCCCTGCAAAGCAATAAACCAGCCATGTGAGCTAGGAGGCTGTCGGCACCACTGAGAGGTAAAGCACAGACATCTACAGAGCTGTGAACATGCTCTACAGACTTACACTGACACCACCAATATTTCATCTTTATTCCTCTAGAAAAGGAGGATGATCACCAGAACGCAGGAACATTCAGTATGCTCTGAGAAGATGCCCCTACTGAATGCAGAATTCTGCTCCAGAAAGCTACCAGAAGAGCTCCATTCAAAAAGTTTTCCTTGGCTGCTTGCAGACATCGCAGCTTGATGCCACCACCAGCCAGCCCCAGACCTCAGCATTTCCATTAACGAGAGCTCCTTGCTAACGGGAAGGCACAGAGGTTGCATGAGAACATGCCAGGCCTTCTCTTCACCCATGGCTGCACAACTGCCACCCCTGGGAGAGACCCTGTTACCTGCCAGGCCACCTGGAAGGAACACGCACGGCAGCTCGTAGCCCCTGGAGCCACACATGGTTTTAATGGGCACTTTAGAGAAGGTTGCAGAGCACCTTCAACTTTCATCATCTTCACTCAGACCAGTCAGAGGGAGTTCAGGGGAAATCATCTGAGCAGTCAGCTACACGGAGGCTTGGAAATCACCAGACCCAAGTCCCTGTGTGCACCCAAATACAGTGCAGATGTCTTGCACCAAACTCCTATTTCATCAGAAGTTCTTGTCCTCCATGAAGACCACAGGCAACAACCTCCACACCTCGGCCTGCTCCATTTTGCTTTGCTTTTCCACCCTATCTCCATTTCTTGGAAGTCTCCTCAACTGAAAAGCAGCAACACCTGAATGACTCCATCCCTTCTTACCTAAATCCCCCTGACAGACCAAAGGGGCCTTGGCTGGTGGAGAGTTTGGCTTTGCTGTGCTCCACCACCACAGCCACTGCCTCGGTTATCTGTGCATCTCGTTGGCCATCATCCCAGAGCAGAGCCAACCCAATGGCAGACAGGATGACCCTTGGAGAGTCTTTCCACTCCAAGCTCCACTGATGCTGGCTTCTGGTTGCCAGCAAAGGCTGGAAAGAGGCAATAAGCAGTTGATTCACATCCCATCTTTTTTTTTTTTTCATCTTTTTTTTGCTTTATTAAGTAAAGCCAGCGTGGGTCTTCCCTCTCCCCTTCTGAGCGGCGAGACAAACACATCAGGATCTCTCCCTCCCATGCCCCAAAGCTCACTGCTCCTCAACGACACGCAGATTTCCAACCCTGGCACCCGGCACACAGCCGACTATTGCAGCAGAATTCTGAGGTTCATTTGAATAAATCTCATTCAACAATCATGGCCACTGTACTGGAATAAATGACTGTATGTTCTACCCTCTCATTTTCATCAGTGATATATTTGGCTTCTAAATCAGGTTAATTAAAAATTGCTGTAGTTAATGTTGGATAAGCAGCAGTTTAACAGATTTTTTTCAGGATTTTTTTTTTTTTTTTTTTTTTAGGCTGCATAAAACTATGTTGTCATCATACTCAGGAATATATACAGCCTTTTAGCAATCAAGAAGCTCCTCAGAAGGCTATTTGCAGAGCCAGTGATTGCAAGCAGAACCTTAATGATGAAGAACTGAAATCAGAAATATCCCTGCCTACTCTTCCCTTCATTAGAAGATAACCATTTCTTTTCCAGTCCATTCACTGCTCTAGGGTCCTCCCATTGCTTGCTCGAGCTCGGTGATCCTGCTTTGCCTCCTGACCAGTCTCGGGCTGTTAAACCAACTCCAGCTCACTTCTTGGCCATACCAAGTGTATTTTCCCTATAGTTCTCTCAACCATGTTTCTCCCAGGGGTTTGACCTCCTTGGCACACAGTTTAGTAGAGGATGGTTGGGCATGTGTGCTGTGGTGTTGGGAAGTCCCTTGCTTAACAACTAGGGATGGAATCTAAATGATAGCCTCTTGGGGCACCAAGAGTTCTTCAGTTCTTTGATGCTGGTTAATCATAGAATGGCTTAGGCTGGAAGGGACCCTGGAGATCATCTAATCCAACCTCTCTGCCATGGGTGCCTCTCAACTACACCAAGTTGCTCAAGGCTTCATCCAACCTGGTCTTGAAAGGTAGGGGACATGCACAACTCCTCTGGGCAATCTAGTCCAGAGCCTCACCACCCCTGTACTGAAGAACTTCTTCCTAAGATCCAGCCTAAACCTACCCTCCATCAGTTTAAAACTGTTTCCCCTTGTCCTGTCATTGGACACTCTTGGGAAAAGTCCCTCTCCAGCCTTCCTGTAGGTTACCTTCAGGTATTGGAAGGCAGTTACAAGGTCCACTTGGAGTCTTCTCCAGGCTGAACTGAATCCCAGTGCCCTCAGCCTATTCTCATAGCAGAGATGCTTCAGCCCAACCAGCTAAGTCCTGGATCCCATGAACTGCTGCAGTAGTCCTTAATAATAGTCCTTAACTAGTAGTTCGCAAGTCAACAACGATGACAAACATGGTCCTGTGTGGTTACAGGCAGCAAATGGTTCATCTGTGCCCTCTGAGATACCACCAGCACCCACACACTCTCAAATTCAGCAAAAAACCTTCTCTTTTACTTGGGCCAAAATTTTCAACATTACATTTGTGTGTGAAAAACAAGCCTGAAATAAATCAGACCACTTTCAGACCACAGGAAAACTGTGGCGCTGGGTAAGCTTCTCCATCTAGCCAATTACTGAAAGGCTTCATAGCTATTTCAGGCAGATGGAGACAACTATATATTTAGGTCTTCCTTCTATTTTGGGGGGGTTACTTTACTTGGTAGGACTGCATCGTGCTTACTGTGGTATCTTTTGTTGTTCTGAAGGAAAGTAATGGCCATGTTCAGAATAATTTTGTTTCAGATAAATACGGTTTCTATCAAGGAAACTTTAATAGCTTCAGATGTGAAAAGATGCAGCCAGTCCTAGTCTACTCTATCTTCCACTCTGATCTCATAAACTTTGATAAGTACTGACCTCCAGCAAGAAATCTTGTCCTTTCTATTTTAAAGGGGAAAAGGAGATGGGAAAGGTGCAGGAAAATTAATGTGGTTTGCTCCTTTATTGGACATCCTGAAAGATAAGAAAATAGCAGAATCTAGGGCAGTTTGTGCCAGGTGAAACGTGCTTGAAAATTCCCAGTGCTCAAAACCTGCTGAGTTTAAAAATACATAAGGCATTTTTATACCTTCTTGGGTTTTGAGCTGTCAGGATTTATGTTTGTTGGCTCTTCTTCATCACCCAAATGACCACAGACAAGTTTCCCCAGGAAAGCAGAAGCTGCAATGTCCATGGTCCCCATGTCTTACATCCCCTGGGGTAAAAGACAAAGCCTGGATTCAATGACCAAGGACGAGCCCAGTAGAGGAGTCAGCACCAAAGCATGTAGCAACCTGCTCTGATTTGCCCCCCTGGATACATCGAGAGACTTTCTGTAAACCCCTGGTCCTCCTGCTGACCCCTTCTGGCACATCTGTCTTGCCTCTTCACCTTGAATTAAACATAACAGCACATGGGTCGAAACCACCTGCTTTACAGAATCCCAGAGTCCCAGCATGATGGGGTGGGAAGGGACCTCTGGAGATCATCTCCTCCAACCCCCCTGCTCCAGCAGGTCACCCACAGCAGGGTGCCCAGGGTCACATCTGGGTGGGTTTGGAATCTCTCCAGAGCAGGAGACTCCCCAGCCTCTCTGGGCAGCCTGCTCCAGGCTCGGCCACCCTCCCACCAAAGAAGTTTCTCCTCCTGCTCAGGTGGAACCTCCTGGGTGCCAGTTGGTGCCTGTTGCCCCTCGCCCTGTCACTGGGCACCACTGACAAGAGTCTGGCCCCAGCCTCTTGCCCACCGCGGGACCTTGAGCGCTTGCTCAGCCTTGATCAGATCCCCTCTGAGGCTTCTCTTCTGCAGCTCAGCAGCCCCAGGGCTCTCAGCCTCTCCTGGCACAGAGATGCTCCAGGCCCCTCAGCAGCTTCACAGCCTCCACTGGACTCTCTCCAGTAGCTCCTGGTCTCTCTGGAACTGGGGAGCCCAGAACTGGACACAATACTCCAGAAGGAGGCCTCCCTAGGGCAGAGGGGCAGGAGATCCTCCCTTGACCTGCTGGCCACACTCTTCTTCATGCACGCCAGGAGACCATTTGCCTTCTGGGCTATGAGGGCCCATTGCTGGCTCATGGTGAACCTGTTGTCCCACAGGACTCCCAGGTCTTTCTCTGCAGAGCAGCTCTCCAACAGGCCACCCCTCCCCTGTCCTGGTCCATGGGGTTATTCCACCCTAGGTGCAGGACCCTCCACTTGCCCTGGTTGAGCTTCATGAGGTTCCCCTCCAGCCTGTCCAGGTCTCTCTGACTGGCAGCTCAGCTCTGGGGTATTATCAGCCACTCCTCCCAGTTTGGTACCACCAGCAAACCATCTGAGGGTTCACTCTGTCCCTTCACCCAGGTCATTGATGAAGAACTTGAACAAGACTGGACCTAGTTCTGACCCCTGGGGAGCACCATGAGCTACAGGTCTCCACCTAGACCCCGTGCAACTGTTTTGAGTGCTGCTCATCTTCACAGGCTTCCTGCTGGAGTCATGAACATGTCAGGGACAGAAAGAAAACATCCTTTGCCTTCTACTTGTGCAGACCTGCACCTGATGGGACCCTGTCTCTACTGGGGCTTTGACTTCTTCCAGCAATGATGCAGAAGGAGAAAATGAGATGAAAACCTATTGAACAAAATTTATTAGATTCCTCATGGGGGAAAAAAAAAAAATCCAAAGTCGTTTTCTTGCTTTATTTTAATTTAATATCACCTCCACAATCAATAGGAGTAGGAAGGCCAGTGTTCATTTAATGTTTTCCCCAAGGAAAACACAAAGTGCTCCAGCTTGGAGCAGCACTAACAGAACTGCTGGAAAAATTACAAGCCAATAACGGGCTGTGCAAAGCTGACAGCATGTGGAGCTGCATCCAGCAAGTGTTTTAAAGCCACCTTTCATTTCTCCTCTATTCCCAAATGTTCCTAGCCCATTCTTTCCAGCTCTGCGCAGCCCTGTCCTCTTTGGTGCAATGCTGATTTGATGAATGGCTTTTAGGGTACGAGTCCTGGTTACTCGCCCTGACTTTTTAACATGCACAGACCTTTAGGAGATGCACTAATAAAAGAGTGGATGAAATAAATTGAACAGGAGTGGCTTCAAATGCATTCACTGAACATCTTTGTTTAGCACATGCTCCTTCATGAATATACTCAGAATGCCCATAATAAAGCAATGCATGACCGTGTATTTATTTCCAGCTGTCTTTATTTTACTGCCTACACGCAGGACAGATGCATGGAACTGTAGATACAAGCTCACCACAGATCTCTGCATGAGACAAGAAATGGTTGGATGGGGCATTTCACAGAATTACAGAACAGAATGGATTGGGTTGGAAAGGACTTTTCCAGGTCATTCAGTCCAACCCCCCTGCAGGGAGCAGGGACATCTGCAACTAGAGCAGGTTGCTCAGAGCC